GTGCTAGACAGACCTGTGCTTACAAGTGATATGAAACAAAAACTAGCAAAAGAACGCAGAGAAGAAAGAAAACGACTAGAAAGTGGTACATTTGAGACTTTTTTTAAAAAGAAAATGAATTTTATGTTATGTATTTCCTTAGTGGTTTTACTTTTCCTAATCTGTCTATATGATTGGTTATAATTTTTTCATGATGTATTATGTTCTATAAAATACTGATAGTAAATCAGGTAAGATAGGCCCATGAAAAAGATTTAACTTACTTAATTTTTGAAAAAGCAGTTTCTGTTACCTTCAATTTTCTGAAAACTAAGGTATGAACATTTCTTCAACATTTATAGAAACTAACAGAAGTGGGGGTTCAGTAAAAAGTATCCTAAAAACGGAAAATGAAGCTACTAACAAGCCTAACATAGACGTGGGGTCTGTTTACTGCTCACTCAGCTTCTAAAATACAGTTTTGTATGAGTTAGGCTCTAGAAGACTCCTCCTGCAGCTTGCAAGGATGCTTTTTCAAGTATCTTTCTTCTTTAGTCCTCTAAATCCACTGACAGAATTAGTGCTCAGCTTCACCCAAATGGAAGAGAAATGACCTCTGTTTTGATAGAGTAGCCATTTCTTCCTGTAGCTCTTTGGGGCGATCAATATTCTCCAGGCCTCAGTGAGGGGAAATTTGAATGTAGGACAACAGTCTGCTGTTCTTTCTCGTGATGTGCAACACAATCCCTTAACATAAAACCAGCGTGGTCTGTAGAAACGAGGCCTTCAAAGGAAATTGCCTATTAGAAGGGAATAAATTCTTATTTTTATGTCCATCATGTTAATCTGGTGGGATTTGACTTGAGCTCAGATAAGCAGAAATCTCACATGAAAGAAAATATTGTTTCTTAATTTGGAATTTTATTTTAGACAAGATGAGAGTCGTCTAGGCCAATCTAGCTCTCTCAAGTTAAGTGAACAGCCAGTGCAAATAGTTCTTAAGTGACCATTTCTGTTAAGTTTTTAGTTAGTAGCATGAGTTATGTTATTTTAAGAAAGAGAATGAGATATATCAACTTTTCTCCTATGTGAATTATGGGAAAACATACTTAGGTACTCTCTTGGCCTTTATACCTTGAAAATGTACTTGGAATGTATTTCAGCTGCCAAAGAAACCAAGTTTCTTGAGAAAGAGAAAAAATCGAAAATTCACTATGATAAACAAGTGGAGGAAAAACAGAGGAAACTGAGAGAGCAGAAGGAGAAGGATGAACTACGGAGAACTTGCGCAGAGGTGAACAGAAGGCGGCAGCTGCAGGAAGAAAGGGTACATACTCTTACAGCCTGTTATGCATCACGGGCTGTGTTGTCTGGGTCTGGGGTTGTGTTTCCTCGCCAATCTCTGTCTGTACTGGTCCAGCTGGCTGGTAGAAAGTGCAAACACAACTTCTCACTTCTTTCTTTCTTCGTCCTCCAACGTTAGAGGCTCTTGCCCCTGTTCTGTTAAGATCCTAGGAGTTTAGACTCACTGTCCTAGGTAAAGAGGAGCTTGCAGGACCAGGAACAGAGCCTATCCCCGTTCAGGATGTGGCTTGTGGAGTTCTTGTGGCCTGTGGTTTGCTCTACTAGGAAAAAGAGTTCAGTGCTGACCCTTTGCCTAGTGAATAAGGGTAGACCCCACTGCCTAACCCTCTAATATGCCCCCATCTGACCGTCTCAGTCTTACATGTCACAGCTCCTCTAATTACGTCTGACTCCCACAGCCAAAGGAGCCATGGTGGCACACGGTTAAATGCTCAGCTCAGCTGTTAACCAAAAGGTTGTTGATTCAGACTTGCCCAGCAGCTCCCAGTAGAAAGACCTGGCAATCCGCTCCCACTTTGAGTCCAAATTGACTTGTGACAGTAATAGCAAGGCCAGCCAAATGGGGGCTTTGTCCGCATTCCCCGACTCGCTGGTGGGTGCCATCCCTCTCCCCGCCCCTTGTGTTCTCCACTTTCCCTTTCCTGACCCCCCAGGACCCTCCAGGTCTGCCGCCCTCTCCCTTCAGTCTCTGCTTTTGTGGCATTGCTTGCTGTCTGTTCCTTTCTGGGCTCTCTCTGGGTGTCCCTGGCACTCTGTTAGTATGTGTCAGTGGCTTTGTCAGGCCCCCTCTCTTTCCCTCTGCCCCTCTTCAGTCAGCTTGTCTTTTGGTGTTTGTCTTGCTCCTCTGGTGCCCGGTCTCGTTCGGTGTGATTCTCTCCGACATCCAGTTTTTCTCTGGTTCTGCTTGACTCACTCCGGAATCTGGCGAGTTCCCTCTCAGGTGGTTCTCTTTCCCGTTGGCATGCTCTCTGTTCCTTTCTTCCACTGACTCCCAGCTGTCCCTAAATAAGCCTTTGTCACTCTGTCTCTGGTTCTCGGTCTCACTCTGGACTTTTTTCCTTCTTGCTGGCACTCCTCTCTCGTCTTTCTGCTGCCTTCCTCAGCCTCTCTCTGGTTTTGTCTCCCCACTTTGGGACTCTGCCTGTCAGTCTCTCGGCATGTGTGTTTTCACTTTCCTCTTGCTCCTGTTGCTCTGGTTTTCACAGTTCCTCTTTTGCTCTCGGATTCCATTTCTCCCTGACACATTCTTCCCTAGGCCTTGCTGTGCACTGCTCACTTTTCCCCCTCACTTGGGTTCACGGTCTTGCCCATGCCCCTCCTCCAGCCCGGACCGCCATCTGTAGATCTTTCTTATTCTAGGACTATTATCGGGCCCTTTATTTCACATCTCTGGCCACCTACACCTCTTAACTCTCTTGGACTCTTGTTTTTCTGAAGCTTTTTCGGTGGTGGTTTATACTCTGTCTTTTCCGTGTTCCTTTATTTCGTAAACTCTTGTTCAGAATTTCTCTTTCTCCCTTGTCCTCCGAGTCCCTGTTTTACTTATCTGGGCTAAGAGAAGGAGTCCTGGTGGCACAGTGGTAAAAATGCTTGGCTACTCCCCTAATGTTAGCAGTTGGAACCCACCAGCAGTTCCATAGAAGAGAGACATGGCAGTCTGCTTCTGTAAAGATTGACAGCTCTGGAAACCCTAAGGGGCAGTTCTACTCTACCCTAAAGGGTCATTGTGCATCACAATAGACTCCATGGCTATTGGTGCTGGGGAGCAAAGAGAACAGAGGCCAGAAAGAGAATATGAACTAACTACAGAGAGTTAGAGAAACAAAGTAAAATAGAAAATGGTGTATGTGAAGCGAGGGAGGGTCCCTGGAAGAAGAGACAGTCACCAGGAACTGAGAGAAACAGAAAGAGTCTTAGAGAAAGAGAGACTAGACTGTGAGGACACTAAGAAAGGATGCAGCACAGTCACAGTGTGGTCAGAAAGGGAGCCCGAGTCAGGGGAGAGGTGGAAAGCCAGGGCGGAGAAGGGCAACAGAGAGTCAGCCAGCGAGCCTGCATGGGGAGTCCCAGAGGGAGCAGGGGCCAGAGGGCTGCTATCAGGAGGCTGCGTGGGGAGACGAGAGAGTGCCATAGACCAGGCACCAAGCTAAGGCGGGGTTGCTGAGGAGAAGCGAGGAGGGCAGGCAAGAGCCAGGGGCAACCTCTGCGGCCAGGAGGACTGTGACCAAGAACACGGAGGAGCCTGCCTTTGGAAGCAGTGGGAGAGAAGGGTTATGAATTAGGAATGTTTGCACAAGACAAGCTTCGTCTCTCTTATGTCTCTTCATGAGAGTTTCAGGATTTAGGAGAGTGGGCTTTCTGTTAGGAAATAAAATTTTTAAATCGTGTCATTTGATAAATGTTAAGAATTGCAGTTCCTTCTCTCCTCAGAGGAAATGGACAGCTCTCCAGTTCCTAGTGTGTTTCTCTTTGCCCTCAGAGAAACAGTGGGGACTTTGTAAGGATGATGTTGCTATGAAACCCTGGTTGTCAGGGAAAAATAGAAAACCTTCAGGCCCCAAGGTTGATTTACTTACCTAAGTACAGGTGTCACCTTCACCACTTCACTTTTGCAAAAGACCTACCTTAGTATCTGTTCTCGCTAACCAAAAAAAATCCAAGAAGGATTTTTGCGTTCTCCAAAAAAGGCGAAAAGCGAAAGCAGCGTTCAGCATTGAGAGAGGCAGCTGCCCCCCGCGGCGCCACTCCTTCCCAGGACCGGGGCCGCAACATCTCAGCATCAGGCTGCTGTGGCTTTGAACGGTGTCTGTGAACGCTGGGTGTTTGTGTTAGTTTAGGTTTTCTGGGTTGCTCGGTAGGTTGTTTTTTGGGTCTGGGAACACTCAACAATTTTTCCCACGTAGGTGAATGGTAATTGCTGCTTTGCTTGCTGCCATTTTGACTTATGAAAGCTTTCAGAAGGACGCTGTACTTTTGGCTGGTGGGGCAACCCATTTCTGCAAGTAGCTTGTTTTGCCACTGTGTGGCCTTTATATTTGTATAGCTGCCACCCTGACCAATTTAAATTGAAGTTGAGGTCAAGAGAAACACATGGGATATCTTTTTTTAAACTTTATTTTTATCAGTTAACATCAGATTTTAAGATGTTACAAATATGGATATCATAGATGACTGACAAAAATTTCGTTTTACTTCACTGTGTGTAGTTGACTTTTTTCCTGCCTTATTCTGCAAAGAATTTAAGGTGACTTAACCATGTTCATACCATTTACCAGATGGTAAAATAAATGGTTGAGGGATCAAGGAGAGGGAAAAATTAAGGTAAGGAAATAATGAAGCGTACGGCATGGTAAGCATACAAAGACTATAGCACTTGGTCATTGTACATTTGCTAGAAATAGACTATAAAATGTCCTGACGTTATAAGCAAAGCGAGAAGTATGATGAGCTCCCAGGTGCAGGGCCCATAAGATTATAAATTAATTGTTAAGGAGAAGCACTGCTATTAATTGATACTTGAAGCATGTCGCTATTTGTAAACTTTTGCCTGATGCAAAACACGAAAAATTTGTGATGGGGTTGTTTGACAAACCATATAATAAGTAGGTGAAAAATGTGTTGGCTTTTATTTTTAACAGGTGCGATACGGAGCCTCAATGTATCCTACTGGGGAACGGAGCAAACCTTCCGATTATTTCAAAATCCGATGGCCGTGGGAAGGTGCTGCGATTTTGAATTTGGATAACAAAACTGGTAATGAATATAATGGTTACACTTTGAGTTCATTAATGTTCGTATTGAATTACTAGCTATCAGCACGAGGTTGCATTTACCATGGGGTTTTAAGCTTTATATCCTAAAGGAGGACGCTTGTGCGTAGTCTTAGGAGTCCACAGTCAATTTATCTTTCAATTTATGTCATGTGAGATTGCACAAGAAACAGGTGAAATTCATTTTAATAACACATTTTATTGAGCCAGTATATCCCAAATCTTACCAATTAAACTGATAATGAATGTTAAAAATGATAAATGATTAAGCTTTACCCAGCTTAGCCAATGCATATTATAAAAATAAACTAAGTCTGCCCTGTTTACTGTTGAGTCACGGTAAATTTTCCTGTATATGGACATATTCTATACAATTTCATTAAAAAATGAATGTATATAGTTTGGAAAAAATGACTTAGAGTGAACATTGTTGTTGTTGTTATGTGCCGTCAAGTCGGCCCTGACTCATAGCGACCTTTCCTTGGGTTTCCAAGGCAGTATCACTATGGAAGTAGATTGCCCCATCTTCCTTCCGAGGAGTGGCTGGTGGGTTTGAACCACCAGCCTTCTGGTTAGCAGTCAAGTGCCTTTAGGCACTACGCTACCAGAGCTCCTAGAGTGAACATTAAGGTAGGGAAATAATGAAGCATACGGCGTGGTAAGCATACAAAGACTATAGCACTTGGTCTTTGTACAGTTGCTAGAAATAAACTATAAAATGTCCTGACGTTATTAGCAAAGCGAGAAGTATGATAGGCTCCTGGGTGCAGGGCGCATAAGATTAGAAACTAGTTGTTAAGGAGAAGCACTGCTATTAATTGATACTTGAAACATGTCTCTTACCCATTTGTAAACTTTTGCCTGATACAAAACAGGAAAAGTTTTTCTGTATCTCTGCCATGCAGAGATCCTACAGCCCAAAACCTCAAACTAGCTTACTGGTTAAGTCAGTTATCTGAAATGATGTACCATTAAGAAGGAAAATTGTTGGATACTAGCTGACAACATCAAAGTTTCCAATGAGGAATATATAACCTTTACTTCTGGACACAATACAAGATGTCTGTTAACTAAAGTCAGACCTTAGTTATAACCAGTATTTTTAAAAAGGCACAAATGAGCACGAACATATGTGGCAGATGCCACAATATGTACCTAGTTCACACAAGCCTGTCTTCCATAGAGCTACATCCTGAACACTCACTCTGTTTTAGCTGATGATGCTTTCTTTAAATATGATGACAGTTAACTTTACCTCTTTTTCTCAGCCACTAAGCGTTTTATTTCAAATGACAAACTTGAACCAGGAAATACTTCTTTGGACAGATATATATTTGTACCATCTACAAGTCTCTACCATTCTCTTATTAAAAGTAAGTAGTTTCATGTATTCTACTAAATTACTATTGAAAGAAAACAATTTGTTATATGTCTCTGTACAGCGCAGCTTACTCTGTAGATTGTAAGCGTTTAGATTTATTTCAGAAGAGCACCGCATTATGTTATACTAGAGGGAGACGGGGATGGTGGATAGTGTTTGGTATTTTCACTTGGTTTCGTGATTTATACTGTTAGGACTCCTACAGTTGCCAAGGCTGAGCCTGAGAAGCCTTTTCTTTTGTTGTTCGTCAGTCTACGGGCATCCTGTGTGCTCTCATAATGGCTGCTCACCACCTCACTGAATATGCTTCCCGAAAGCACTTGTAGATATTCTTAGAGCAACTTGGGAAGATTTTCTCTAGCATGTTCCTTGTCATGTGATAAAATTAGTTTTCCACCAACTAAGTCATCTAGAAAATTAGCATTAATTATAATGCCATGCTTATATACTTTCAGTTTAGAATATCTTAATTGTTTCACAAGCATTGACTACATTTCACTATCTGGTTGCTTTGTGGAAGTACATGAGATTTATTCCACAGGTATTTATTACATTTGTAATTTAATTACCAAATACCAGTATGCTTTCATTCATGAGACATGTGGAGGGAAGAGACAGATGATGACTTTCAAGGTAATATGTAGTTCATTTGCACTGAAGGAGTGATTTCAAGTAACCTTTCAAGTGATTTCTTGAGTAGTTTATAATACAAGAAAGTACACGTGGAAGCCACTTTGTGAAATAACTTGTTAAAGGTATCATATGTGGCACACTCTGAAAAAATTAAGCTTGTAATCCATGATTCTAGGGAAAATAGAATAAATATTGCCAGTGTGTTTAAATTGAAATGAAGTCTGCAGTCCAGAGAGAGAGAGATTTCAAACTCAGATGAAGTACAAAATCTAAATGTAATATTTTAAGAACCCTGTTTTAAAGCTTGGTTGATTCAAATAGTTTATTTTTCCTCTAGTCATTGCTGACTCGTAGTGACTGATCACACTATTTTGTCATTTCTTGCGGTATGCTAATGAAGGATCTACTATTTAATCACATGATTGAATTGATTACTCTTCCACGATTCATGCAGCTAAATCACATTATTAATTCAAGGAATTTTAAAATGATGCTATATTGCCAATAGATACTTTAATTTACAGTTCCGCCAAAGAGGAATCACTCTCTAAACAGACACTCCTCCATATTGTGAGCCAAAATATTTCAAATGAAATGAAAAAGTGTCTGCATAAGACAGCTTATATACGCTTATGAATGCTTTGGGTTCCTTAAATTGTGACATATGTCACATATGTTTGTGCTCATTTGTGCCTTTTTAAAGATATTGGTTATAACTAAGGTCTGACTTCAGTAACAGACATCTTGTATCGTGTCCAGAAGTAAAGGTTATATATTCCTCATTGGAAACTTTGATGTTGTTAGTTAGTATCCAGCAATTTTTCTTCTTAATGGTATATCATTTCAGATAACTGACTTAATGAGTAAGCTAGTTTGAGGTCTGGGGATGTAGGATCTCTGCATAGCATCTGAAATTAAATACCTGCTTTTACAGGCCAGGGTAAGAAGATTTAAAAAAAAAATTGAGAAAAGTAGTGCTTCACTCCTGAAGACATATATTGAGATATTTCATGAAAAATAATGGTCTTTTTTTTTCCTCTAGAGAGTACAGAAAAGAAGAACTTACATCTTAGGAGAGATGCTAAGTTTCCTCTATCTGCTCAACTAGAACAGCCTGGAAAGGAGGAAAAGATATGTGGTTGGTTATTTCTAAGATCAAACTTTAAGTAGTGGTTTAACAGAGGTCACTGTATGTCAAAATTGAGTTGCTTGAGAAGTCATTCTTAAGATTGGCAACCAAATTATCTCTTTTTTATCTCAAATAAGTACTTTGATGCCACACTTTTGTGGCTGAGGCAGAAAAGTCTATCTCTAAATGGAATAGACTCTCCTAGTCACAGAGCAAGGACTCTAATGAAGCTGAGGACACCAACCACAGAATGTCATGATGAGAAGACGGATCATGCCGGGCATTTGACGCCCGCAAACCTTGCATGTTTAGTTTGCATTCAGAGGTTCTGAGTGCCTGGCCACATTTGGAATGTCCCAGCTTTGCTGTGTCGCTTCCCAGCATTCTTCACATACATCCTTTGGGCATGTTTCCCCTGATGAGGATGATTGCACCCAAAATCTCATAATTATTCCTAAAGGACCTCTTTATTTAAAGTCGCTTCTCTTTTAACATTTTCCTTTCAGACAGGCTTGTGGATTTTATGTTTTAACCAACCATTCAGTGATAAACTGCCCCCAGTGCCACGCAGGTGGCCCCCCCTCCCTGGCCCCACCCTCAGGAGCTTCCCACAGCTCCTCCCCTCTCCCATTGGCCCAGGCAGACCATAGGCACCCATAGTTGTTTCCCACATCCAGTTGGGGGACTAGGTGATGACACCAACCCTAGTGACGCCGCTGCCTTAGCGGCCCTACTGTCTTCTGGGAACCAGCTGCTGCCACCAACCCCAGAGTCATGTTGGGGTCATCCCCTCAGCCCCTAGTGAAGCCTCTGCTGTCCACTAGGTTGATTTCAGTCAAATCCTACTGATTCAGGTCAGATATAGTTGTCTTTTTATGACAAAAGCTACTTTTAGCAAAAGAACTCAGTCTTTCCCTTAGAGCTTTCGGCCATGGATTTGAGCCATATGATGTCGTTGGCATGTATCTGTGGGAATTCACGTAAAATCCCACTGAAGTGCAGAAAATTCATAATTTTTAAAGTTTTGTCGTGTGCAACTTTTTTCTTTGTGTGGGTTCAGTGAATGATCAGGATCCCTTCACTGGAGTTCCTGTGTATGCTGTGGCCTTTTCTCCTTTATCCAGGTGCCCTCTAACCTGACCTTGCAGGTAAAACCGTACCCGTCAAGCATAGTCCACATGTCAGGCGGAGTCCGTGCCGTCCGGCACATGGCTGGGTTTGGTCTTGGCCCACGTTGCTGTCATTGCCTCACTTTGAGGCTGGGGATGTCAGCATCTACAACACTCCACACTACTCCTGTAGCTTCCTAGGCATGTGTGAGCCCTCACACTGAAGCCTTTTTTTGCTTTGTTCTTATTCAGTTCGTCGCTTGTATGGCAGCCTTCAGGGAAATACTTTAGTTACTCGCCTATTCGACCCAACACAAGAATCAGCAGCGCGAAGCAAAAGTACAACGTTCTTAACCACCGTTCCTGGGAAGGAATTGGCAGGTAACAGCCATTTGGGAGAAAGCCTAAAGGTGGTAGTGAGTGTGTTGTACCACTTGATTTGTCACATGGAAACATGAAGATAATTTGAATCAACAGTTACCTAACACTTTATGTTGCATGTTTGTTTCATGACTGCTAGCATAGCAGGGAGGAGCTCTGGTGGCATAGTGCCTAAGGCATTTGACTGCTAACCAGAAGGCTGGCGGTTCAAACCCACCAGCCACTCCCCGGAAGGAAGGTTGGGCAATCTATTTCCGTAGTGATACTGCCTCAGAAACCCAAGAGGGGTCGCTATGAGTCGGGTCCGACTCGATGGCACATAACAACAACAGCAAGCAGGGTAATTAGCTGGCTTACCGGTAATGTATAGGATGAGACAGCGACCTCCTGTGGTGGTTTGAGAGCTCTCTGGGTTTCTTGACCTGCATTGGGCAATGTCACTGCAGTGTAAAAAGTGCTGAATTTTAAAAATATGGAAGAAATTACTGTCAACAGAGAAAGTTTCCTACTCTACCCTCCTTTTTCCCTAAGTAACAATGAGCTCCTTTTCCACTTTTAATTAGGGAAGTAAAGATTGTTAAAGTCAAATAAAACAAACCAGTGCTATATGGACCTTCTGATTTATAGGTTACATAAAATGGGATTATAATCTACTTTTAAACTCAGTATATACCATTTTGCCTGTCCAAAAAATACATTTTCTCACTCATGATTGCCTTCGTGTAGTCCAGATTGTCTTACATTTTGGATTATATTTTCAGTTGTTTTAATATTATAACCAATGCTATGAGAAGCAACCTTTATGTATTTATCTGATTGTTTCCTGAGGATAATACCTAGAAGTGGCACTGTTAGGACAGAGGGTGTGTACTTTTGAAATGGCTGTGGGTACATATTGCCCAAATGCCCCCAGGGACGCTGTACCAAAATGAACACCTCTGCCAGCAGTATACGGATGCCTGGTTCCCAACATTGGTATTAGTGTTCTCCCCATTTTTGCAGACAACTGAGTATTATCATAATTTTTCATCTCTGTCCATTTCAAATGTAAAACAAAATATTAGATTGTTAGAACTGGGAGAGACCTTGGAGATCCAAACCACTCTGATCAGTGACCTATTACAAGGTTTATTATTGGTGAGAAAATGCTCTCCCTTCCGTCATATTCGACAGCAATCAGACAGGCAGTGTTTTGTGTAGCCACCTATAATGGTATGCTTTCTGACCCTAATGAGGATTCTTAGGTTACTTCTAAGAAGTGTTCCAGATCTTGTAGTTTTCTGTGAAAATGATTCTGAAATATAGTGTGATTTGAATAGAAATGGCTTCTTGTGGACATTGACTTAGAAGTATCTTATTTCCCCCTGTAATAGACTAATGCTTTCACAACTATTAATGTTGCTTCTGAAGTGTTGACTTCTCACTGGTTGTGTCCTGCATCTGTGGTCTGTTTCACTAAAGATTCCTGTGCTGTGTGTCATCCCTGTGGTTTCCTAGTAAACACAGTCTCTCTCTCTTCTCTATTCCTATTTTCATACTGTGGGAGCTCTGGTGGCACAATGGTTAAACATTCAGCAGTTCGAACCCACCAGGTACTCCACAGAAGAAATACCTGGCATTCTGATCCTATAAAGATTGCAACCTAGTAAACTCTATGAGGCAGTTCTACTCTATATAAGCATAGGGTTGTTATAAGTCGAAAGCAGCTTGATTGCACACCACAACATCATACTGTGTGCTTGGTCATTTTTGTCTCATCAGTTTTCTAACTCTATGCAATTTTACCCTCTGTCCTCATTCACCTGTAGGTATCAATATTAGATATCTTCAACATACGAAGATGGCTTTGCATAACCAGAGTAATAATGAATTGAAGACTGCTAAGACAGATTCTGAATCAAGAGTACAAATGCCTTCAAGTATAAAAGTACAAATATCTCCAAAGGACAAAACAGAATTGCCCACCCAGGCTGGAGCAAAAGAGCTCCCCGAGGTGAAATTGCCCCCTAAAGCTGCTATGCAAGCACCCACAGAGGTCGGCATGAAAGCGCCCCCGAAGACCAAGACAGGTGTGAAAGTACCCCTTGAAGTCAGCACGAAGGCCCCCCCTGAGGCCCAAGTAAAAGTGTCCCCTGAGGCCCAAGTGAAAGATTCTGCCAAGGCCAATGTGCAAGCCTACCCCAAAGCCAATATGGGAACGCCCTCCAAAACCGGTGCCAAAGCACTCCCTGAAGCTGCCATTGAAACAGCCCCCAAGACCAACGTAGACGCTCCCATGGAGGCCCACAAGGAAGCACCCCGCAAGGTGGATGTAGAAGCTCCCCGGGGTGCCATTGTAAAAGTGCACCCCTGGGCTGTTGTAGAAACGGTCCCCAAGACCAACAAGGCAGCACCCCTCAACACTGATGTGAAAGCTCTCTCCAGGACTGGCACACAAGCTCCCCCAAAGACCGATCTGGAAGCTCCCCCGAGTGCCGGTGGAGAAGCACTCCGCAATGGTGACGTGGAAAAGCCCCTGAGAGCCAAAGTGAAAATACCTAAGAGGGTTTGTGTGGTAACCTCCCGTGAAAGTGGTATGGAAACACCGACCAAGAAAGTGGGAGATTCATCACAGGTTTGTTATTAAGCACCATTTATTGCTAAATTTTCTATTAAAATATGTATACTTAGTTGTATAGATCATGATAGGTCAGATTTCACCACATATTCTGCAATACACCAAAACCAAACTTAGCGCTGTCGAGTCAATTTTGACTCATAGCGACCCCTCCTTGGGTTTCTGAGACAGTATCTGTATGGAAGTAGATTGTCCAGTCTTCCTTCTGAGGAGTGGCTGGTGGGTTTGAACCACCAGGCTTCTGGTTAGCAGTCAAATGCATTAGGCACTATGTAAAATGTATCAAACAGGATAACTTGTTTAGTCATATAAAATTCTCTAATATTCCTTGTTTTCCCTCAAAAGCCAGAATGTTAGCTAAATTTTAGCGGAGTGGAAAAATCTAACAGCTTATATGAACTATGTGTCTGAATTCTGAAGAAAAACTTTTTGAGAAGTGTTGCCAACCCTTAATTAGGATTTGAAAATGAAATTAGGTTTTGTAGTGAAAAAAAAAACTTATTTAAAATTCATTATTTATATTTCCTGCTCAAAGTGTGTCATAGGAATTGTTAGTCTGGAAAGAAATATCTCTGTACCCAGATCTAAGAAGCATTAAGGGAAATTCTCAGGCATTCATGGTAAATTGGAGGTTTAAGGAACTATAATTGTGTTATATTCAGAATATTTTTACCTGAAAAAGAAAAGCTAGCTACAGTAAAATAAGTGCTAGTAATTTCTTTTCTTATTGTATTGATCTTTTCAGAATTCCTTTGCCAAGAAGTGTCTATCACCAAACATACCGTATTACAGATGGCCATCTTCTGCAAGTGGGTGCCGTCCACCTTCTCCCATCAAGTAAGTAGCTCATCCGCCAATGCTCCTGATGAGTAATTTACCAGGACAAATGTCACATCAGCGTCTCGTCAGTGAAATAATGTGGTACGCATAAGAATGTAAATGTAACGAAGAAAAAAACCTTTCAACCTGGATTTACCTTAGTCTGTTGTTAAAATTTTCAGATTATAATATTATCTCACAATAGCAAGACATTGTATTTTATGCACCATTACCCTGCAAATTAGCACACACACACACTACAAAACTATGTCAGACTTCCCCATTAACTGTTACTGTTACTATTTCCCAGCAGGCAAATTCCAAAGAATTGCTCCTCTGCATCTTCACCTGTAACGTCAAAACAGCTTGCTCTGTCTTACGAAGTAATTCCTGTTCATAGTACTCTGTATATGCCAAATGCATTAATAACTACTGCCAAAAAGAAAAAAGTAGCCATTTCTAAAACCACTAACAGACCTGAGTCTCTGGGCCAAAAAAGTGTCACTGGTGGAGGTAAGTTCTTTGCCTAAGCAGCTTACTTTGACTGATAATCTTATAGTAATTCACAAAAGTCATGGTTTGGGAATGGTCAGCTTCACTTGATTCCCCAATTCTGAGAACTTCAGGGAATGGTCTTTCTTTTAGATCAAGAGAATTTCACAGATGACCAGTCCACTGGAACGATGCCCTGCCTACTTCTTGACAGAGCTGCTGAGTCACCCCCACCCCCTTAGTGGTTTGCAAAATTCGATTTTGCAGCCAATGTTAAAATTCTGGTTGGATGAGAGGGTTGCACTAGGTGATTCCTACTATCCTTCTAGCTCTGATACTGGATGGTTCTTTGAATGGTTCTGAAGTATTTCCCAGTGTTGGAGAGAGCACACCTAGCCATCTGTGAATGAGCAGGTTTCCATCGAGAAACCTAGATAAGTTTCCCCAGACAGACCATAGCATGTGACATCCCTGGGCTCATGCAGTATGAGGGTTCCTCTAAGTGCTTTGTTGGTTGGTATGTTGCCTGTCATATGCATTCTTAATACCTGAGGACATGGCTTGATTTTAAATACATGCAGACAGTTTGCTTTTTGAAGGAATTCCACAGTGAATCCTTTTATGATTGCAATCTTTTCAACAAAGTACTCATTTCTAATGTTCTGCAATTCTCATTTTCCTATGTGGTTCATTTAAAATGAAGGAATTTGTCACACAGACTAAGTTAGTATGATAGCATGCCTCCAGCAGGTCACCAATTTTCCTAATACTCTTGGTTCTTTAGTTTCTGTAGTCAACCACTTTGTGATCAGCCAAGTACAGTAATACACTGCTGTCAAGGTTTGGCTAAACAGAACTTACGGAGTGAAAATGATGTGCCTGTCGTATTTTTGTGTAGTCAAGTATGTAAGATTTTTACACTTCGTTTGAGCCCAGCATACGCTGGTCTGCCTCTGTACTTGGTGTGTTGTCATCTTTTCCCATAAGGTCAGTTTATTCAGGCATCTCAAAGCAGCTGAAACCAAAGGAGTAGTACATGATTTCATTTTGGAACAAGTAGTTCCTAAAAAGAAAGAAAATGCTACTGCTGTGGTGATGGGCAGGTGGGGTTTTGAACACAAGTCTGTTCTATGACCACTTCTAGACCACTTCCAGTTCACAGCGTTTAGACTGGTGACCACTGTCCGGTCTGGTAATGAGGATGGTTGTGTCTTACCTCTTTGTTGAACTGAGAAGACAGTAAGTTCCCCCAAAGTACTTATTGCACATGTTTGTTTCACCTAGATGCTAAAAGCACACCTGGGGCTACGAATGCACGGGCGGCAACAAAAAGTGTGACAGAAAAAAGACGTCTGGCTCAAGAACAACGAGAAAAAAAGGAAGAGGCAGAAAGAATAAGAAAAGAAATGCAGGATAGGTCAGTACAGCCTCTTATTTTTGAACAAAGGCTCCACTTTAGAAAGTCACACATTTATCCTCCAGTTAAGAGTATTATAAATTTTCAAAGAGTAATTGATTTTTTGTTCAGTAGGAATCGGAAATGGCTTACAGTCTTCTTAACAAGTATAGGGAACATTTCAAGGCCTTGTCAGTGGCTTAGCATGGAGGCTGTTGGTATTTAGGTGAGGGTGTAGTCCTGTTTAGACTCCAGAATGAGAAGCAGACCTCCAGGGCAGGTCCCATGTCGCAGGAGAAACAGCGGAGAGTCCACAATGTTTCTGTTGGTGTCCACTGGGCTCAGTCCCTTTATTTGGAAAGACTCCGGTAACTTGATCATTTACCAGCCTGGAAACTGTGCTTTGTCCTGTTTTCCTTTGAGGGCTTTCCAGTGGTGACCTTTGTGACCCCTGTCTCGCATCAGTCCAGCGAGTCCTTGCTGGAGCATTGTCCTGTGGGCAGCGGGCAGTGTGTGCATTTGAACTCAGTCAGGTTTCTTACTCCTTGATCTTGATGCGAACCTCTGTGCACTGCCCACACGGAGTACCTGCAGGGCTGACTGGTTCTGAAGTATCCAGTGTTCTCTGACAGGCGGTCCAGTACTCTCCAGATATTTCCTCTGTATGGGAGAGGAAGAGAAGGGAATGTTATGAATGTAAAATCTAGAAATTAAAGGGTAGTATTCATTTCACATAAATGACCTCATTTTGCATTTGGAAAGCACTGAGCACTGGTCACTGTGGACGTTCTTCACCCAGGCACCACCAGCTCCTTCTCTGAATTGCCCTACATCCCCAGGTGAAGTCAGATGTGAGCACCTATAAATAAGGCCGTTCAGAGGACCTCATGTCTCTATAACAGTTAAGAAGGAGTATTTTCTCTCTCACTCTCATGTGTGTATAATATACAAAATAGTCCATTACTTGATAGAATTATTTTCCTACTCCCAAGGATTTCCCCCTTAAAAAAAGTAAAATTATAGAAATCCTGTGTAGTAACAACATAGAAAATATAGTGAATCTGGTGTAAAATGTATCCAAGGAATTCAGCTCTAAAAAGTGCACAGACTGCTGCAGGCTATAGATGGCAGGGACCAAGATAAATACTAACTGTTACTTAAATATTCCCAGTATCATTCAGAGGATGAAGGAGATATCCAAGAAAACCACTAAAGGGCTAGACAGAAATTTGTGGATGATTCAAGATCAAGGGAGGCAGCAGCCAAAGGACATTGAAATGAAGAAAGAACCCCAGGACCCAGAGGCTCGAGAAATCCTGGCACAGGTTGTTGATTCTGCAGTTTGTCAGGGGGAAGAAGCAGGGGAGGAAATTGAGTTGAAACCCACAGCGCAGATCTCGCTGTAAGGAAGCAGATGAGCAGATGCAGGGTTCCTGTCTGCATCTTTATATTAAAAACCAGGTGTTGTCAAGTCGACTCTATGTGTCTCAGAGTCAAATTATGCTAATGCCTAAGGCACTTGACTGCTAACCAGAAGCCTGGCGGTTCAAACCCACCAGCCACTCCTCGGAAGGAAGGTGGGGCAATCTACTTCTGTAGTGATTCCGCCTCGGAAACCCAAGGAGGGGTCGCTATGAGTTGGGTCTGACTCCACGGCACATAACAACAACAACAACAACAGGCCTTTCAAGGACTGATTTTCAGAAGTAGATCACCAGACTTTTCTTTCGAGATGCTTCTGGGTGGCCTCCAACCTCCAATCTCTTGGTTAGCAGCCAAACACGGTAGCCATTGGCACCAACTGGGGACATGAGAGAAGACTCAATGACAACTCGTTTAATTTTACATTGCAGTCTAGCTGTTGTCTGATACCATTGCAGGTCACTCTCAGCCACCCTTGGCAGAATCCTAGAATGCTTTCCAAGTGAGATAGGCAGACAGGAGGAAATAAAGATCAGCAGTCCTTAGTTTGTCTACATAAACACCAGTGTAGTGGACCGTTCGTCAGAACTGGCTGTTACCAAACTGGTGGCAGACGTGCATTCTATGAGGAAGTCCCTTGGAGAGGGACTCCTCCCACTGCTTTTGATAAATGTATGAATTTTGACTCCTGTTACTGTGTTCCTGGGTAGCTACACAGTCACTTAGACACTTTCAAAATATAATGGCCTGATGTTCCTCATGATAACCTTAAGCTGCTGGAGGGTACCAACGTGCCTTCTAAATCCTCAAAATAACGTTTAGCCTAGTTCTGTGCATTCTAACAACTGCTTTGGAAACTAGTAATTGACCAATGTCAGATGAATAGGAACGCTCAACCAAAATATTGCATTCTTTTGATAGGCTGAGGACTGTTTTACTGTTGCATTTTTTTTTTTTTTAACTAGTGTTCTCTGGTGTCACTGAGATGGAGTGAGATTAAATGGTCTTTCTGTTCAAATTTCTTAGAAAGCAGATGATAAGGGAAAGACACCAGATGCTGCTTACAAACGAGAGAAAGAACGTGAAAGACTTACGCTGCAAAATTTGCAAGAAAGATTAGAAAGGAAAAAGGTACCCGATGGATGGTTGGGGTTTGACTCTTTGAAACCGCGATGGGCACATGCTATCAGAGCATGTTTTTGTGAATCATAAGTAAGTCCCGTGTGAATCCCTGAGAACTCTCTCCCTTAACCCAGGTATCTGAGCTCTGCTGAATAAAATACCATTGGCCCATTGACGCCCATTACAGTGATGCCTCAGTTCACTACACTGCTGGGAACAAAGCTCCTTTGTTCTAGATTACTGGGTCATGGGAGGGGCTGGTGGCACAGTTTCTTCTAGACAGGACTAGCAGCTGAGTGGGAAGCAGAGGGGGCAGGCCCCTCTGAGAGGCAAGGAGCAGGCTGTTTTCAAGGCAGGGCCTCTGTGTCAGATCATGGATCACCGTGAGGAGGCCCCAGAGCTGCAGCTTCCCTCGCTTTCAGGACAGGAAGGGGCACTGGGCAGGAGTTCTTCTCCCTGCCCGTCTCCTGGGTTATTTCTCCTTCCAGTAATGAAATCTCTGATAGCGTCACAGCATCGGGACGCATTGTTTTCATTAAGACCAGCTTTAGTTATAGTCTGTTAAGGCTGAGATTATGTCAAAACCTCTAATTGACTTGCCGTCATAGGTGCTTAGTCTTAAACGATGAGTTTCCGGCTCTGCAAAATTAGGAGGGAAGAGTTGGCATTGGGATGTCCCTGCTATAATAACAAATACAGCTATCGCCTTTCAAGGCACATGAATTCATAGGTTACAGCGAAACCGGAATTGGAAGAAGGAGCCTGCTGTCCCCAGGGTCTTGGCGTTGGTTACGTTTGTGGTATTAGACCAATCACAAATATTGCCCTCTTCTGGAACTGTTTTGTTTTTAAGCTGTTTACATGTTTGAAATATTTTCATTTTCCTTTACATAGAGAGTAGACGAAATTATGAGCAGGACAAGGAAAAGCCACACAAACCCTTCCAAAGTAAGTCTCTTAACTGCAGGCAGTGTGTAGGGATTCCCGTTGCTTCACGCTCTTGCCTACTTCAGAATGTTTGCCAAGCTGGTGGCAACAAAATACACTATCACATTTTCGCTCCCCTGATTATCGAAGAGCTGATACTGTCCTGTAATCGCTTGGGGGAGCTGCTTGTTTAGGTCTTTTGCCCGCTTTCTGTGGGGTTGTCTTTTCCGGACCTGCTGCGGGTGCTGCTTTGGTGGTCCCGTGCTATGCAGGTATCTCCTCCCACTTGATGTCTTGTCTTATTTTAATGTTGCCTCCTGCTGAACAGACATTCCTGACTTTAATGTCATTGAATTCATCTATTTATCCTTTCTTTATGATGGCTGATGAAGTCCAGCCCCTCTTTGTATGTTTACTGGCCATTTGGATACCCACTTTGGTGAAGTGCCTTTTCGAGTTGTTTGCCTGTTTCTTGTTTGGTCACCTGACTTTTTCTGATTGGTCGGTAGGAGTTTCTACCTCTGCTCAGAATCCTTTGCCTCACGCTCTCTTACTGTCTTGCGCTGAATGGAAGTTCATCATTTTAATGAACTCATATTTATCCTTTGTTCTTGGTTCTGTTCCATAAACATTTGCTTTCTCCACAATGTTTGTCTGTTGGTGGATTTCATGCATTCGAGGCTTTTTCCCCCCAAAATCTGGGCTTTTTACAGTCTCTGTTGCAAAACTGCTATTTTGCCTGTTTACAATTCCTTAGTTGTGGACATTCATACCTTTAAGTAGCGTGAGAATCGAGAATAGAAGTGTGCTTTCTGGAAAGTACTGGGAGTCACCATCTCAAAGATCCTTCATTTCACTGGACAGAGAAGTTTTCCCTCAAGCAACGGCCAGGAACTGTCACTCTTCACCATTTGGCCCCCCCTCGGCTAAGGTAGGATGCCAGGTGGGCAGAGAACAAATGCCAACCCAGAATAGCTGGAAGACACCACTCGAGCCATCTGTTCCTGTTCCTTGTAGATTCTCGGAGCCATGTAAAGACCTTAGGTTTTGCCTTTGAATTGAAAAGATGAAAGCTAACAACCAATCCAGCCTTTTGAAACCTCTCTTCTTTGAAATAACTGAACCCAGGTGATTGACTGTTAGGCCTAATCGTGGCTTTCTTTTTGAATTGCAGAGCTCAGAAGCATCTGGTGATGGCACATGTCAACAGGCAAATGAGGAGGAGGGTGAGGAGGCAGAAGACCAACCACTGGATGAAGTGGTCTCTTCAGGTTTGCTTGCCTTTTGAGTTCCATCAGCCAGCCGTTTAGGAGCTAGACTGCCTAGGTTCATATCCAGTCTCCATCACTTCTGAGCCGTGTGGCTGTTGGCAAGTTAAATATCCTCTCCAAGCGCAGTTTACCCATCTGTTAAATGGGAAGCTAATGTTTTCCCCCTCATAGGGTATGCATAAAATTTCAACTTCATATCATACTAAGAATAGCGTTAGGCATATAGCAAACTCTCAGGAGATGTTGGTGCTGCTGCTACTGTTTTAAAGGCTGTGCTAATAGACCCGACTGAGGATAGCTAGTACTTCATAACTCAGAGCTACTAAGCTGCTGTGCTTGACCACACGGGTTATTTCGCTTTTTCCTCATTAAGGGAAACTGATCCAAATGCCCTCCGACATTTATCGTTGACATCTTCCTGAGCAAATCCCCCTTTGCAGTAGCAGGAATTGACCCAGAGAACACCGTTCCTCCGTTTCTCTCCCGCGGCGGATCTGGAACTCAGAAGTCAGGCACTCAGCGTTAGGTGCCTGGGATGCAAAGATGAAAAGATCAGGCCCTTGGCTTCCAGGAAGCAGAGTCAGGGGGCAGACAGACCTAAGCAAACAATTCGTTCCCACAGATAATCGCCTTCCAAGAGATTTGGCCAAAATGCCAGGAAAACCTAGTAGTAGGAGTGCCTGGGTCTGCCTCTGGGTGGTGAGGAAAGTTTAACGGAGGAGCTAGCCTTTGAGGTGAGACTACAATAAGAGGTGAATTGGCCAGGTGGCTGATCAAGGAGAGTGGTGAGAAGCATGGTGCGCTCCTGCCATGGCCCAGAGGAAAGAGGACAGGTTCCTTAAAGGGAGTCCCTTGGTGCTTTGAGAGCAGGGTGAGTGGCTGTGGCAGGCAGTGGCCCTGTGCTTTCCTGGCCAGGACCTGAAGCAGCTCAAGGCTGGTGGGCCTGCCTCACCTTGTCACTTCCTGCCTTCAGGAAAGCCCCCACCCCACCCCACAGACTCATTGGCATTGGATTTGGATCCCTCCTAGGAGCAGTCAGGAGCACTGCTGTTGCACGTTCTTACGGCACTTGTTTCAACTCCAGTTGTAATCTTGTCCCTCTTTCTCCTTAGTAATTCTCAGCAGCATCGATATGTCTCAGAAACTGAGGAAAAAACTGAATAATGTGAAAAAGATGTCTTTAAGTCTTACCTACTTACGTGCAAGTGGAAGCCACATTATTAAAGAAACACAATCATTTAACAGCAACATACAAAAATCTAAGAGAATTTTACAAGCCCTGTTGACTCCGGCTAAAGGTTCAGGGTGAGTCACACGGTGGCCTTAGTATAATAAACTTCACAGAACTGGGATTGCCCTCCTTAGAATTAGAAGATATGTCACTTTTTGTGTCAAGCACTTGACTGACAGAAGCAAACTAATCCCCACCAGAACCTGGCTAGGGAAGGATTGTCATCTCCATTGTTGCAGACAGGGAGGCTGCAGGTGCACAGAGACAATGGCCTTATTTGCCTAACATCCCACCATTAAAGGGCAGAGCCCCAATTCAGACCCAGGTACATGTAACTGCAAAGCTGGGCTTGTGCTCGGACTTCCTGTCTTAGTTCCCCAGTGCGGCTGTAACACAGCTACCACAAGTGGATGGCTTTAGACTACAGACTTATCTTACCACAGTTCGAGAGGATAGAAGTCTGAATTCAGGGTGTGGCTCCAGGGGGAGGTCCTCCTTCGTCTGTTTCAGCTTCTAGGAGCCAGTAGTCCTTGGACTTCCTAGGTTTGCAGACTCACCTGCCTCCACCATCACATAGCGTCTGTCTGCCCTTTGGATCTGATGGGTTACTTCTGTAACTCAGAAGTGATTAGCTTTAGAACCCACCCTGCATGGGTGAGACCTGATTAATATAACCAAGAGAGCCCCATTTCCAAGTAGGATTATGTCTAGCGGTGTAGGGTTTAGGGTTCCAGGACCTATTTTCGGGGGATACTATACTCCTTCCTACTGTCTGATTAAAAAAAGAGAGAGAAGAGGCACCATGTCTTGAGGCCTGGCTACATGTCAGGCATTTCACATAATGCTTTATGTTTTAATTCTAAGTCAAGTTCTTTGAGTTAGATATGAAATATCCTCGTTTTACTTATGATGAAACTGGGGAGCAAAGGTTACCCTAAATCACCCAGCTCACAACTGGGAGAGGGGGAGCAGATTCTTGGGAAAGAATCAGGTGATTGCCTCAGAAGACCGTGGAAATAAGAATCTGCTAAGAGGCACAGTGGCTATGTGGAAAGGGCACCGGAGCAAGAAGACCTGCATTGGGTCTCGAACTGCACCTGACTGGCCGTGTCCTTGGTCACCTTGAAGGGAGGCTAGGCTCCGGGAGCCCCACTGGCTGACCTGCTTCTTAGCGTCATGGCCTCTCCACGGCACCCTGCGGCTTCATAGGACCTAATTTGTACTCTGGAGTCTGTATGCTCCCTTCCCACCTTCCCACTCGAGGGTTCTGAAATGTTATTTACTTGCAAGGTGTTTCTTAGAAGTTAATTAAAGGATAAAGCTGTTTTTGGCACAGAGCCTTGCTTTAGGAATAATCAATGATTCTAACCAACACCTCTTTCCAGGCCAGCCGTGAAGAAAATGGTTAGCCACAGTGACAAAACCCTGAACTCACACGAGACAGACCACATAGTGGGAGCTGCCAAAAGCCCTACTAATAAGCCCCAAGACTGGATATGTGACAAAGCTGTCGAAATAGTTGGCCAGGTGAAGCCACCTGTCTCAGACTCAAAATCTCCTTCTGACGACCAAATGAAAAATGCAAAGGACGCCACAACAGTGCCCCAAAGTTCTGAAATACGTCTTGAAGGCACAGGACAGGAGAAACCTGTCTCAGCTCACCGTGGTAAGGCCTCCTTCCATCTTCACAGTGCCTTGAAGGCTGCTGGCGGTAAACCCCCCTCGGCTTCCCTATCGCCAGAGGTCTGCAGTGGGTCACTTCAGAGGGCAAGGAGAAGACAGTCTAGAGTCTGAAGTCATGATGGAGAAGGGTTCCCGCCAAGTCAGTTTTGAGCGTGTAGATGACTTGATTCTGTTTTGATGTCCTGCACTTCCTGCCACGTATTAAAGAATTAGCTCTTTCCTTAGATTCTGCCGAACCCCTGAGCCTCTGGCTGCTTGACAGGCCACAGAGCGTCATTGGCGGGGGAGGGGTGCCAGTGCCATCTTCAGCCCATGATTCCAAACCCAAAGGCCTTTGTTTCTCCCTCCTTGAGAAGTTCTCTTTGAAACTAAGAGAGGCAGCTAGGGCCAGTTTGGCGACTGGGCATGTGTGTGACGCCGCAGTGCCCGTGTGTCGGCAGCTCCCGGAAGGGGCTGCGCCGGGTGGAGGGGGAGCTGGGGCAGCAGCCTTTGGCATCAGCAGTGGAGTCATCAGCCTCTTTTCTTTCTTCTTTGAATCAGAAATTTGAAGAAATATCCATACGGCCTGGGACCTTATGTCATCTCGTTTCCAGTTCACCATCTCAACTCCCAGGCCTCTCGTCTGATTAGAACCTGGCAAAGGTGATAAGTAGAAAAAAATGGAAAACAGCACAAAGTTTCTGATGGTCTTGTGTCATCTAATTTCCATCTCTGTCTCTTTGCCTGACAGGCAAACATTCCGAATAAAATGCCAGCTTTGCCTCAATGTTGCCAGCGTCTCTCATTCTTGTGTTTTCCTTCCCCTGTGTGCACCACAGCAAGGGCCTATCCGGGAGAGTTTCACAAACAGTCACTATCGATAAGGGTTCTCAGCGAATCCCTACTGAAGGAAGAGTTTGTGTTTAGGATATTTAGAATCTTAAAATACTGTTGGTTCCATTTAACAATTGACGTTTAGAAACTCACATGTGTGCTTCTGTCACCATTGCCTTTGAAGTGCATATTGAGGTTTATCTACGAAAACCTGTATTACTGCTGTTATGTCCAAAAAGCAGTATTGGCTGTTGTCATCCTTTTTCTCCTTCTGCTCCCCAGGCTTCTCTGTCAGTACGTGCCCAGGCTTAAGACAGGTAACCAAAATCCACTCACCTTTCTGTAGCTTGTGGCCATAAATGAGTGACTGCAGCAGCGTTCTGCTTCAGTCCCTGTGACAGACACACAGATGTACCGCGTATGTGTACACAGTATGTGTTTCCTGATATCCACAAGCCTTGCCTAAACCATTGGCTAAAACCTAAATGCAAATTGTCCAGACGTTAATGCGCTCGCAGTGTTGCGCAGCTGGAAGCAGACCAGTGTTCCTCTCTGGCCACCAGTCTTGGATGAGAAAAAGGTTACTGTTTTTCCTCCTGTCCTGGACCTTTGCTGTTCAGAGTACTGTACCACGATTGTAGATGAGGGCAGTGTCTTAAGTTTAGAAATGAGTTTTGTACCTCAGCTCTTTCATATGGAAGCAGAGACAATCATCCTAACAACTGACTTTCTGGTATTTTTCTACATCCTTGTCATATGTTGAAACACTCTGTTACAGCTCCGTATAAATAACTTTGCTGATAGAATGCGTTTTCTTTTCATTACTCAGCAAAAACAATTTGCTGGTGGTGGGGTAAAGGCAACACGCCTTGTTCGTTTCATGCTCTGAACACAGGCAGCCAGCAAGTTGAATGAATAACCGTCAGGCACTCTGGTTTCTTTCTTCCTTCTCTTGCGGATCTGGCAGAGTTCCACTTCTGGGACATTAGGTGCAAATTTCCAAACACTTACTTTCTTCCTACAATGATTTCAGTACTTGTTACTCGTCCTCATCGACAGCTCTCACTTGTAGTTGAGGCTTATTAAAATAACTTTTTTATTATTGTGGCAAAATTCACGTACTATAAAATCCACCACCTTAACCATTCCATAGTATCCAATTCAGTGGCATTTAGTACATACACAGTGTCCTGCAACCATCACCACCACCTAGTTCTTCACCTTGAAAGGAAACCCTGTGGCCTTTGCACAGTCACTTCTCACTCCCCGCCCCCAGCCCCCGTAAGCCCCACATTTGGTACTTGCCACAGGTGAGGGAGACACGTTGGCAGGTGTGTTCTGGGCGGCTGGCATGCTCTCCCGTAGGCACATCTCTTCTGCCATCACTGTGATCACGAGTTGGATAATAAGCATTCTGATGTGCTCCCAGATATGTAGCCTCCAGTCTTGAAAAACGCTTTGCTCCACTAGGTTTTGTTTTTAATAAGACAAGGTCTTTGATTGGTGCCTAGTCTTTGGTGCTTATGAGCATGGTGGCAGCCGTCCCCATTAGGCCTTCTATATGCTCTACATTTGAACCAACACAAACTAGACCCATCCCATTCCTGTTCGAGGTGCCACCTCCTGGTCTTCATCACAGCTAGAAACTCCCCTGCCAAGCCTGGCATCAAGTCCTACTAATTCATCGATCGACCCAGACTATTTCTTGGTGATACAGCCTGAAACTCAGTCAAAGCACCCTGTTCACAACTCCAAGGCAATGGATGCTGATCTAGCCTTCCCATTTCCCTGGACTAGTGTTCCTTTAACCTATTATGGGAACCCGTCGGTCCCCTTGAGCTTTTTTCCTGACTCTCTAGATAGCCTTTTGGTGTCCTGTCCCCTGAGGGACAGATCTCAGGCCCTCCAGCACTCCAGGGCTCAGAATAGAGTCTGCAGATCAGCGCGTTTCTGCCACCTCTCATCTTGGGCACTATGTGTGGAATGAAGCCTTTTAAGAACCCTCATCCCTAAAAGCCAAAAAAATAAAAATTAAAAAAAAAAAAAAAAAAAAACAGTATGGGATACTTTCAAGAACCCTAGCCGGGAACCTGAAGACCTACAGCCATAACTGCCACTAACTTGCCCAGGGACTTTGACCACGTTATTTCCCCCATCTGGGTCCTGTTCCTTACCTTTCAAACCAGGAGTGTTGCACTATATCTCTAAGGGACCCTTCAGTTTCGAGATTCTGCAATTCTCCACGATTAACACGTCGTAGCAAAAGCCAGAGGATCTGGGGGCATAAAACAGAGCAGCTAATGCCAAGGAAGCCAAAGCCTGCAGACAAATGCCCATCCATTTTACCTTATCGAGGTCAGTTCCCTGGGTCACTTTCGGCGCCCCCTGCTGGCCTGCTTTGGTGAAGCAGGCCTCAGAAAGTCCTCTTTGCCTTTGGGCTGCCTTCCCACTAAGCCAATGACAGCTTCTGTAACTATAATTCCCATATCTCTGGTGTGATGATTGTGGTTACATTTACATATACCATATGCCAACTGCATTAGAGGCATCATTTTAAATCTTCATAACCACCCTGTGAAAGCTGGGTGTTTGTTTTTACCTGTGAGGCCATTGAGGTTTGTGGAAATGGGAACTTACTCAAGGCTATACAAACCCAAGTCTGTCTGATTCTCAAGCCAATAGCCCATACTGCTTTAGCAGTGGCAATAGTTTCTTATGACTTACAGAGTAGGTAACAAACACCAAAGCCCGGTCTTTGGTGCTGGACGTGAAATGGCCAACATTTACTGAGTGCTTTGTACTGGGTGTCAACCCCCTGCTGAACACCTGTCTTATCATGTCATCTGCATGTGATGCTGCTAAGCAGGAATACTAATTCTCACATCACAAGTGCGGAGACAAGCTCAGAGAGGTCAAGTAACTTGCCCAAGGTCTCATAAGTAGAAAGTGGCAGAGACAGGATTCAAACCCAGTAATGTAGCTCCCGAACCCACCTGTTAATGACAAGGAGGTATGTTCTTGATCTTCTGATCCTCTTAATTGTGACAGACAAAAGGTTTCTCTGCTTAAAATGTGACAACAATAAATGTATCCTCATTCCTTCAGAGCTTTATGATCATCACTTCTAAACTTCCACGTTTAACAAACACAAGTGACGGTTTCCTCATGATGGTGTGTCAGATGTTATCCGTACCCTAAAGGCGCTCATACTGAATTGTGAGGAAACACTGTCATATGTTTCGTGAGATGATGTACTAGACGTGTGCCCAGGATATTGTTTTGCCAGATTTTAGCTGTGTGACCCTAGGCAAGCGTCTTAAGCTCTTTGAACTTTAGTTTTCTGATTTGGAAAATGGGGGCAGTAGTGTCAATGTTGGCTGTGGGAGATTAAGAAAGAAAAAAAAAAAACTGCCCTCAAGTCAATTTTGACTCATAGTGACCCTACAGAACAAGGTAGAACTGCCTCATGGGGTTTCCAAGGCTGTCAATCTTTACAGAAGCAATCTACCTCCCACAGAGCAGCTGGTAGATTTGAACTGCTGACATTTTCACAAGATGCCGAGCTGTTAAAGGAGGCAAGCAACAGCTAGAGGCAGATTCTGGCCCAGCCTCAGTGACCTAGGTGAGGAAGGTGGTGGGAGGGGGAATGTGGAAGTGGGGGCGTGGTGACACCCTGATTATTAGGCATTGCTGCAGCCTCGCTGGTGGTCAGGCAGTGCTGGTGATTCAGGGTGCATTCTGTTGTGTGGTTTCCCCCAGCAGAGCTCTCTGGCCCTAGTGTGGGCTGGGGTTTTTCAGGCCAAGTGGGATAGATAGGCAAAGGAGTAACAGGACTGACAGGGGATCAGGGGGAAGTGGTTGACGTGACAGAGCACAGACTCTTGGGCAAGTAAGGAAGGCAATACAGGTGCCAAGGGGCTGAGAGAAGCGATTAGAGCCAAAGAACTGGCACAGCCAGAATAGTGAGGAGCACAGAAGGAAATGGCGTGTGGTGGCAGGAGGGAGAAATGGGCCTGCTGGAAAGCTCCGGGGTTCCCCCCACGTGGAGCAAGCAAAATGCAGCCCAGGAACCAGCCAGTGGATGTGTCTGTCCTCCACGTGAACCTGAGGAGAAGACCAAAAGTCAGGCATCAAAGGCCTCAGTGAAGACGAGCGGCCCCCTCTCCGTCCTAGGCATGTATGTTAGTACTCTTTCCTTCCATGCAGTCTCCATTTGTGTGGGGAGCACGTAATCCGTTTTAGAGGCCAAATGGCTTCCTTGGTTAAAGGGACAGAGCAGTTTTCTCGGTTCCAGAAGGGAGTGTTGTCGCCTCCTAGGTTCAAGGGGCAGGCCATCTCCTTGGTTCCAGGGGACAGGACCATCACCTACTCTTTCCAGGGGTGGGGGGGACAACGTTTCTTATGTATCAAGGTTGGGCCACTGTTTCTTCACCTCAAGATGAGGAACTATCAAAAGAAAAATGGACCAAGTTTGCTGGTCCGATAGAGCCTGGTGGAACCACTGAGACTATGGTCCCTAGCTGCCCTTCAGGTCTGGAATTGAACCCACACCTGTGGCTTCCAGCCAAACAAAAGACAGGCATATGAGCTGAACATGTACCTACAGTAGATA